AGCTGTTTCAGGCATAATTATTATTAATTTTAATGCACATTATTATCATTTCACCTTAATTGTGAATAATTAACTCAACAACGCACTAATGCTAACGAAAGCGTTAACCCAAATTGTATTGGAATGAAGAAACATAACAGAACCCCAATTCGTTACAGAAATATTATTATAATATCTGCAAAGTCTCTGTACGAAACAAATCGACAATTCTTTTTATCGCGTTTATATACAGAAAATGTGACGACAACGAGTCAAGCAAACTCGGTGAAGTTCACCTCAGGAGAATTGAGTTTTATTGAATATTTCTCGTCATTTCATTCGATCGACCCTTGAAATGGTTTTGTCATAACCAGTAAAGTATCCATAAAATATGACGAAATAATTCTTTTCTAGAAAGTGATTTTTTTTCTCTTAGTTTAGAGAGTTGATTCGAGCAGCGGCCGATCCCGAATCGCATCTTTATCGGCAAGATGCTGCAGGGCAAAAATTGAGACGTAGTCAGAAATTCCGAATGCCGAAGAAGAAGGTCGTAAGTGGCTCGTGAGTAATAGTCGCATCCATCCGTCGCACCACCCCGGCAATAAGCGTGAATAGCTTCGTAACGACCGGGCGGAAGGAATAAAATTTGTTGCGATTCACCATGGTGCGCCTATGCTCGGCTACTCGCGTTACGTCACCCGGCACGCAGGAAATACGACGGTGTTCCTCCTCGAGGGTGAAATACGCCGAGACACCATCGCGAAATCCAACGTGACGAATGAGCACGCGATTAATCCTTTTCCCCGGGTTCGGGCCTGTCCAAGAAATTTGCCTATCCGGTTTTGCGGAAACGCCCCTTCGACGGCTCGTTGCGCTGCCGATAAAGCGTAAAGCTCTAAAGAGGGGAAAAGAAATTCTGATTAATTCAAGAGTAGCGTTCAATCGTCCCTTAACAACAGCTACCGTCGTCACAATTGCACGAATCTTTCGCTCGATTGAAATCCTACATGCCGAAAATATTTGATTGAATCGATACAATTTTTCTTACGGTTCAATAATAGAATCATGGTTATCGTACGGACGACCCTAATATTTGGGTGGCACATTATTAAAGATTCACTGATTAATCATTTTGAATACGTCAAACATTGTGTTAGATCGCCCCGAATATTCAATTTCGTACGTATATCCAAAATATCTGGTTTATCGACTATAACATGTTTTTTAGGGATTTAACCAAATCACTTTAATTAATCGAAGCAAACGAGTTCGATAAAATGAACCGAAATTCATTTAATTCAACTGAAGTGTTTTATGAAATTAATTAAATGCAGTCAATCAAACAATTCTGTTGAATCAACCATGTATTTATGCCATTATAATTAACTGCATGTATCGAAAGATTAAAGTTAATTATAAATTGTAGTCATCTAAGGCTTATCATAGTCTGGAGTTACAATGAATGAAGTTAAGTTTAATTATCGTTTACTCCGTTATCTTGTATCTTTAATGGGGCTCAGAAGTAGAGTATTCTTTCGGTTCAGAGTTTCTCGAAACTCGGTAAGTCGCGTTTCACTTTGCAATGAGAGAAGCCATTCTGCATGCTTCTGCAGTTATTTGATAAGATCGGAGCAATTTCAGTGTTGTAGGCTGCAGTTCAATTTTATATTTCCTGCGGCACTGCTGCGGCTGCGTTCCCCACAGGACAATTTCTGGGGGGGTTGTAATGGCTGTGTAGTAACCCGTGATTCCCCTCAAGAGAGTACTTAACATCTAAGAGCTGTTGGACTAAGTGCGTTCTCGACATGATGCACGAGGTAGAAAGATGTCGCAAAAGAGTTGGTCCTTGATACGTTAACTGTACGGTTGTAAAAAACGTTCCCGCTAAGGGGAACATCCTGTACTATTCTCGGATGACTATAAAATTTATACCTTACTAAATCTACTTTATAAAAATACTCATTAATGTGTACGAGGTGTATATCTCCCATTGCCATTGCCAAGTACAGAGTATATAAAAAATAAGGTTATACAGTCCTAGTTGTTATTTTGTTAATTAGCCGTCTATAAAATAGGGCCATTTGTTATTCCAAAAAAACCAAATGACTTGCCTCAATTCTGCAATACAGGTCTAAAGAGAAATACTCTCGACAAGAATCGTCTAAAATAATACAACAATTTCCGTCGCTACTGTTTTTCTCGTCTCGTTAAACCTGCAAATGGCATTTACCTTAAACATTACAAAATGTAATTACGAGCCTTCCGTTTAACACGTGCGAACCACTCCCAAGCAGTTTCGCTTTTAACGGCGTGTCCCAAAGCTAATGAAACGACTTTTAAAAACGCCATCTAGGGGAGACCGAGGACGCCTAGAGCACCCTAATTTTCCATATAAAATATAGTCTCGACGCTAACAAACGTGCTCGAAAAATCGTCCTATCCAAAAGTCCTTTTTCAACCTCAATTGTATGAAACTCGTATAAAGGTATCCAATACAGACTCGTATATAGGTACGTAAAAAGCTTAAAGGAAGGGAAGGAAATAGTTATGGGGTACAAACCCCGTAACAAAGTTTCATCTCATGAAAATGAACAGACTTTGTATGAATGCATTTGTAAATCCGTAGACCAAGTTTGGACCAAGTTTCGATCATGACGATCTGTTCCAATTAATTGTTGAATTAAAAACATTAAAATTGTTACAATGGACCTCGGTCTCCCCTACATGTAAGGAATAGGTACTGTACGATTTTTCTCCGCGTGGTTGCGTTGTTCGGGGGCCATCGAGAGGCGGGCGTCGAAAACGCGAGAAATGCAAGTGGAGGCTTCCTGCGGGAAAAGAATGAGTCCCGGAAAGCTCGGGAGGCCCCAGGGTGCAGGCGGAAGTGCGAAAAGAACGAAACGGAAGTAAGAGGCGAAAGGAAACTGGAAAGAGGGATTATCAATCAGGAGGACGGCGATACAGAGGAGCGGTGAGTCGCATTAGTCTCTGCCGCGCGGATTCATTCGCTCTGCCAATCACGACGGAACTCGAAAGTCCTCCGAGGGACCCGGGACTTTCGTCGCAAGTGGGTACACGCGAAACTCCTACGGCCGTCAATGAGCTTTAGGGGAGGGAATCGCGAATTATCCGACGCACCTGTTCCCACGAAAAAGAAATATTGACAAAAAAGTCGGGGTCCGTTCCGCGTTATCCCTACCGTCACCGATCAACCCCAAACAATTAGTCTGAAATGTTCTCGGTACTATTCTGAATTTTTATTACTTGACAAATAACTGCTTTCTACTCGTTAATATATACTCGGATTCATATTTTTGTACGTTATTCTCGTAAGTTTTGCATAATTTATCCCTGAATCGAGGAATCTAGGAATGTAGTTTTATATCAATTGGTAACATAAATTGCAATGTGTAAAATTTTGCATATTAAGACTTTCCCTTTTACGAATTCGGTAATTCAATAAACTCATATTTCAAATGTATTTGTCAATTAGTTTTACTCCGCCTTTCTCTGGTGAGAAGTAATTTAAGTATTTTCAGGCCTAACTTGTAGAAAATGGTATAACCATTACAGCCCGAGATATTTAAAGCTTGAACTCGATTGAAACGCTCCGAGGACTAACGAGGTTCTAATGAGAATCATTAATTCACAGGTTCTGTCTGAATTAAATAAGACTGAAATTACTGTCGGCAGATTAATTGATTAACGGAATACAAGATTTGGGGATTCAACCAAGATCGATCATTTCGACTAGGGCTAAGTAATTGCGTTCAGTGACATGGTCGCCCATAATCGATCGAGAAAAAATTGCTTTCTATTGACTAACATTCGCGTTTTCGTAAACTTTTAGCCGATTTCCATGAATCTCGTAGATTTATTCTCCAAATCGAGTAGTCGATCAACCGTGATGCACCCCAAACGAATGGCGTGTACTTCTCGTACGACTCATCCTTCCTTTCTAGCGATGCGCTTAATGGCCCGAAGGGCGAGAACGTGGATGTTAACGCGATTATTGTTGTCTCACCGCCGAATCCCGAACTTACAGCGATAAATATACCTCGCCGTCATGTTGATGGGTTTCTGAGGGGTTGAATTAAATTGCTAGATGTTTCGCTCGAGCACATAACGACCGAGGGGGCGGCCATGCACGTATTGGGGTAGCTCCAAAAGGTTTTACACCTACACCCATTATTTATATACAATAAATCCTGCATCCCTCGCTCATGCCCTGAACTATCATCCTCCCCGATCTTTCGGAAACATGAAATTTCTTCTTTGACGTCTTTTCGCGTTAGCTCAATTTGCAACTGTCCTCAAAAAATCAATATCTTTCATTTAAAATGATCAAAGCCAAACGGTGCCACGTCATGATTTGTAATAATTTTAGCTCCAGTTAACCAGACCTGTAACAACTTTTTCCGTATTATACCCCGAATCTAGGTGAAGGTATTCCACAACTTATTAAAGTTCCACCTTTTCCGGGCAAAGAGTTCTTTGCCTACACCGTCCCGAGGTACTCCTGGCGAAACGGGTAGAGATTTCCAACTTATCCAGCCCCCAGGGTCCTTTTACCCGAGTCTTTGATATTTTGTTCGAGATTATCGAGAGTCGACAGGTCGTTACTGTGCTTTCGATTAAAAGAGTCTCCGGCTGATTCGGCCGGCCCCGGTCGAGAGCCAAGAAGGAAGTCCTTTACAAAAGTACCGGAAGTTCACGTTTCGCGGATGGATTGCAACCCGGTTTAGAGTGCATCCGCTCAAAAGGGACGTCCCGACGCAAGAAGTCTCAAAGAGTCGGTAATATCCGGGTCGAAGCAGTCAAAAATAAAAGCTGCCACGCGAGGCGGCCGTCTCCGCCACTCGACGTCGGCCTGGCCGAGTTTCTTTGTAGGCTGCCGTTTCCGAAAAAGAGGGAAAAAGCGTTTCGGCCGAGACCGAAAAGGGTTTTCGTCGCTTTTTTCGAGAGGGGGCCCGCTTAAGTCGCGGCCCGTGAATTTAAATGTACTGTACTGATGCACTCACCTTTCCATCTGGGCTGCATACTTTGATCCCGGCGAGTGAGACGATCAGAAGGACGGAGGTGGACCGATCGCTGTACTGGAACAGGCCAAATTGCGTTATGTAGCGATTGAAGAAATTCTCATGAGGCATTACAGAATTCCTAATTATTAGCCAGAAATTAATTGAGCTTAAAACCGAAGCAGTTCTTAAGGTGATGTTGAAGTGGCGTCAAAGAGGTCTCGTATATGAAACTTTCCTCCGAACTGGATGTACCGAATCGTTTCAAACTTGACAATGGGAATATGAAGGCTATAAGGAAGGTTCTGATACCCATAAAGTCTTAATTTCTTTTAAAATTTGTATATAGATATTTTCAAAATTTTTCTATAAACTATGAAATTTCACGAGTGTCAGGACCTTCTTTATAACCTCCAGATTCACGTTGTAAAGTTTGAAACGATACGGTACACCCAGTTCGTAGAAAAGTTTCATGAACGATTGATCTTTCGAATGCCACTTTTACATCCCCTTGATAAGCATTACGAAATTGTCCAGTCCATAAAGTTATGAAACGTACGCGAAACAAAATCGCACTTAGCCGTGGATCAGGATGTTGCAACTTATCCAATTAACTTGCGACCTTTTTACTAATTGACCTGTACATCCTCTTAATCAGTGTAAGCGAACGTGTAACGATGGTAGCTCACGGTCGATGAGGAGCCATTAAATAAACGTTTAACTCGTTCTTGCGTCGCAAGCCGGCGAGAAGCGCGCAAACAAAGAGCTTTGTTTAGGTGCTCTTAAAGTAACGCTAAGAAGAAAGAAACCCCTTGCTCTCGGTCGCTCATTCCAAGAGAAAGGGGTCCAAAGTAAAGGACCAGCCCAAGTCTATAAACGAAAGCAGAAAGATGTTAAGAAATGAAACAATCATAGCTTTCCGTCATCTCTTGGAACCTTCTTTGAGCGTGTCTCGTCTCGTACATTTCCTCCAAAAGTCACCATTCTCTTGGATCCCTCTGCCGACCATATTCTCACGCAAGATTCATCATTTTCTTCTACCATAACTCGATATATCTAACTTCAGCAAAGCAGGACTAATCCTTTACTCTTGGGTTCAAAAGCCTTACACAAATTCTGCGAAAATGAAAGCACCTCGGCAACGACATGCTTACAAGCCTTCCCAATTTTCTGAAGGAGAAGGAAGAACGTGCGGGATAAAATCGACTTAAAAAGAAGAATTGAAAATCCTGAATGCGCGCTTCTTGTAATGGTTCTCCTCCATTAATCGTAACCCCTTCCGAGGAGTGTATCCTCGTATTTTTCTTGCTTTCACAATTTTGACTTGCAAGGCTCCCCCGCCGAGTGAAGTGCGACTAGCCGCTTAATCCTCGGATTGAAAAGTTGGCAAAGAGAGCCGCGACAGAAGCCACGTCGGTAAATGGAACAGGGAGGGCCTCTGAATATCGCGGGAGCGACTCATTGTCTTAAAACTCGCTGAAGCGAGAGTCCTGGCAGAAAGGAAGATCCTTCCTAGCCATAATTACTGGTACGCGAGGGGTGATTCGCCATGTGGTATGGCGAAACGTGCCGAGTGATGCGATGCTCTACGTGGGGGCGAACATTGTCGTTTCATTTCCCGTTTCTTAATTCGAGCCGGGGTGGCTCGGTGCTTTCGGCTATTCGATGTCCCCTTTCAAAGCTTGGCCGCCTTTTCGGTGAATAATGTCCCTTTCCACTTCTCCCCTTTTCGGAGGAAATTCGAGGCCGGGAAAGGTTCTTAGATCCAAAAGAATGGTACCGAGGTGGATATACCTTGTTATATCGAGTAACGTTTTGGTTGCAAGGGTATTCTGTCCCTACTAAGATTTTTAGACCTAAGATACTAGACCGTATAAAGGTGCTTTATAATGTTAGTACTGCATTGAGTCCCTTTCTCCCGTTTCGAAGAGAATTCGAGGTCGGATAAAAGTTCTTAGATCCAAAGAAACGGTACTGAGCTGGGTAGTATAATATTTCAGATAATGTTATGGTTTTAAAAATATCAAGTTCCAAATAAAATTTTTAGATCTAGAATAATAGATTATGTAAGAGTACTTTATAATCTTCATACAGCATGAAACCAAACTTTGCAGACGTCTGAACAGGATGTTAATAAGTAAATGAACCGTTTATATTCATGCGGTTTCATACATTAGTTAATTAGGTAAAAGTCATGATACCGATTGCAATGTTATTCGCTAAAGTGCAACTAGATAAATTGTCCAAGTAACCGATTACTTGGGGCATACCGAGTAACACTGTACTCGATGCAACGAGTTGCGATTAGTTCGCGGTGTAAACATGCCGATGCACTAATTTATTGCGTGTGCGTGGATAGACGCATCCTGCGCATTAATCCACGGAACGTTTCTCGTTTCCGAGAAATTGAATGAATGTGTAATCAAAAGTATTATCGAGATTTTCGGTACCGAATCCCGTTTAAACGAAATCCAACCGAAATGTTCATTGAAATAATTATTACACATATATTAGGTTGATCGAAAAATAATTGCGGATTTTATACGCGGTCGATACTTAAAAACCACAAATCTGGGTAATTGTGTACAAAAGGGTGATTCTCTCGGAGAGGATCACCCTTTTATGCATAATTACCCAAATCTGCACCGCAGAGTAAATACATAAGTCGAAATTTTGATTCTACTTAGAACCTATAATTGTAGGTCTTAACCTCTTAACTTACAATATCGTGTGAGAGACGTGGTATATCAATCGGGCCAAACGTGAACAAAACGTGTGAGAGACGTGGTATGTCAATCGGGCCAAATGTAAACAAAACGAATGAGAGACGTGGTATGTCAACCGGGTCAAATGTAAACTAAACGTATGAGAGACGTGTGAGACGTTGAACGTTCAGCCAAACCGTGAAATGGCCCGATGTATGACCAACATTTTTGTTGTTTATGGCACGCGCTATTGGAATTTAAATCGTAAGGCAAGGAGTTAAATAAGTTTGGAGATAATATAGAGGGCAACTTTAATGCAATTGACGTCCTGAGTATCTAAAACTTGGCGATATTATTATTTCTTTTATTTACGGGCCCATAAAAGTCGGTTGCATCGACACTCGCGTTAAAAGCTTTAATCAAGGATTACTTAACGCCTGATTAAACGACTAAAAAAAAAACGCCTAATTATCTGACTCCAGGTGGTTACCTAACAACGGATCTTAAACTTTGTTCAGCCTGATTTCGATTGGTGCATCGCGAATTTCATTAATCCGAGATCAACTAATCATAGTTAAGAAATTTCATGCTAATCACAATTAATACAGCCAGCCCTAAAACAGGCCTTAATTTGTATTAAATAGGACATACAAGGTTCAAAAAAGTATAAAAAGTGAAACGGAAACGAGAGTTCTTACTCATTATTAGATTACGCAGATTAAAAACAGGGCTAAAATTTCGACTTGGGATATTTTCAGAATAAGGATCTGAAACCGTTTATCGTCATAATACAGAGGACTTAATACTGTCTGCCTCTACGATAGAGGACGTAGGGCTATTTACCTCTACTAATTATTTTTGCACGAACTTAATATCGACGTGTTTTATCCCTTAACATAACAACTCGCTTAACGTTAATTCACCTTCACTGAAATTTACCTCGTTGCAGATCATCAAGCGCCTAAGTCTCGCCACGCACGAGACGCGGCTTCCCCGAAAGCGAGGTCAAGGCTCGCGTAAAGAGTCCTCGTGGAGGGCAAGAAGGTGGCCGCCGCGGGGAAAGAGAGGTCGACTCGGCGCGAGGCGAGGTCTTCGGGCCCTTTCGGGACACTCGGGTCTCGGTGGGTTTATTCCAGAAGGGTGATTAAAAAGTTGCCGAGTGGGACAGCATGGACCTGGAGGGGAGCGTGGGACAGTCCGTCGGCAGTCTAGCTCGAACGCGTGCGACCGAATGAGCGCGTCGAGCGCGCCCTCGTCGCCTCGATCAGGCGAGGCTCCCCCTCTCTCTCGCTCCCGCGGCGCGCCACTCCCTCCCTCTCTCTCGCGCGACCGAGGTTCGCGCCGAGGCCGCCGCGCGGCGCTACTCGCCACGCGCGCTCACCTGCTCGCCCACATTTGCATAAAACGCCACCACTCGGTCGATTTAACTTTGGGCATTATTGCGCGGTGTATAACGAGGCGAGACGAGAGCCGCTCAAAGCCGAGCTGACAGCGAAAAGCCGCGATTTTTGCACGGCCCCCGAGAGAAATCATTGCAACCGAGGACGATTAAACCGGTTCGTCGGTTAGGGGCGCCGATGACGATCGACGCCATCGAGTTACCGCGGAGCTCTTTTGGCGCACTGCGACAATTTTCCACATGCGTTTCAATGCAATTACTTACAAAAGCGGAGGAAACGTAGAAAACCGGGTGCGACCATTTCCGATTGCTCGAGTTTCTCGTAGCGCGTCATTTTTCTCAGATTTTCATTTTAAGCGCGGGTTATATGAATGTACATGTACCTATTCGATATGTAGACTGTCGAATGAAATTATATAATTAAAGAGCGCGTATAGGAAAGGTTTCAGTATTTTGAAATTTAGGTTTTCGATGATAACTCTTACGACTGGTACTTTACTATATTACCGGTACGCCTATTACGTTAATAAGAACAGATTACGACATCTGTTATTACCGTTCTTTTCACACCGAGGCTGAAGAGAACCTCCTCCTTTTCAAAGGACGTCCTGTTTCAAAAGTATTTCAAGAGATCCGCTAGTAAATACTGCTAACTCAGTTTTCCCGGAAAGAAAAAGAACTGACTAAACTCAATCCCCCGACCCCAGTGCCGTTCATTTATATTGATCAAAAGAAACTTTGAACCCAAACCCCAGGGGGTTTCAAAAAACGAGTAATTATACATTCCTACTTATGCAGTATTGATTTGCCGAACGCAAACGGGCCTCGCGTACATTTCAATTACTTAGAACTTCAGGCGCAACTGACGTATAAACCCTGAACGTTTGTTCCTGTTCAAACCCCGGAATAAATATAAGGTTAGAAAACGGCTACTTATCCGAAGGTGTAAGATAACCTTGATGAAATTAAAATAT